AAAAGATTTCCTTTCCTGGGTTGTTTAATCAATAACTTTAAAGTCCAGTTTTAGACCTTGAGGTTTTCTTTTTAAAATTTTGTAGTTTTATATTTTGTTTTAAATTCTATGATTCAATTTTTTTATTTATTCAAGGAGATATTTAAGGAGGCTTGATTCCAGCCCCCCTTTGGGAGTCTCTATGATTGTACAATCGTTTTAGCACAATTTATTAAAAATGCTGTTCTCTCCCTATTAAAATATTCACGGGGGCCTGCCCTGAGAAGATTTTTCCCAGAGTCCTGGGCACTACAGCCAGTTTGGGGTAGTCTGAGGGAAAGGAATCTATGTACACCATGCTCTTTTGTCTGTTTACCTTATTCCTCTGAGAATAAATTCTATCTAAACAGATTTATTTCTGTTCTTATAAATTGTTCCTCCCTGTCCCTTCTCTTCCTGTCCTCCTATAGCCCTAACCAAGCTCTTATGCTTTCAGTCTCATCTTTGTTTTCAGTTTCTTTGTCCATGCTCATTTCTTCCTTTCCTACTCTCCTGACCTGACCCAGCCCTCACTCTCTACAAAATCTCTGCCTTGTTCCTTTTTCTCCAGCCATGCCACTCTGCCTGGACTAGGAATTCTGTCCTCATCTTTACTGAATCTGGTTATGCAAAAAACCCTTCAGTTCTGAGTCTGTCACTCTGGAATCTCATTTTGCCTGTCAGAGGAAGGAGGTCTGAGCTTGATTGCACAAGAAGCAAAGCTATGTACCTAAGAGACAGGCACTTGGCCTAGGAGCCAGGCTGTGTCTCCAAAAGGTGGTTTTACCTTAAAATCAGCAGCCTCGGGTGCCTAGTGGGCAGTCTAGCTAGGTTGCTTGTCCTTGGATGCTTTGTTTGGAGCTGGCCCTATCCTTGGATGTAGCTAAAGGATATTGTAGCTGAAGGTTTTCCTGTATCCGGCCCCCCTGCCCCCGGTCCACAGCCACTCAGACTCAAGTAAATACACAGAGGTTTATATTAATTAAAACTGCTCAGCCATTAGCTCAGGCTTACTACTGACTAGCTTTTACACTTAAACTCAGCCCATTTCTGTTAATCTATATGTTGCCACGTGTTCTGCGGCTTTACCTGTGTGCCATTACATGCTGCTCCCTGGATGGCAGGCTGGTGTCTCCTGACTCAATCTTCCTTTCCCCAGAATTCTCCTTGTGTGCTTATACATCTATACTTCTTGCCTGGCTGCTGGCCAATCAGTGTTTTATTAAACCAGTGTACAAAAGCATTATCCCACAGCAGGGGATATTTGCAGAAGGCAGATATCCAATTCAATGCTAAACCGGGGCAGGGACCCTTGAGGCAGAAAGCCCTGTCTATGTGACCTTACCCAAGCACTTGAAGCATATATAAATTCTTGGGGAGATTATAAGCACAAGAAATTCATAGTAAGAAACAGCTGAATATTAAAAGCCAAATAACATCTAATATTCCTTGATATATGGCTTCTCTCTAGAAGGATTCCTTGACCTTTCAAGATATAGCTTTATCATATACAGCTGAATTTCTATTTCACATTCTTGCAGCTTGCAGCATCTCCCTATGCACAGAATCAAGTGTATATGTTTACAAAGGTATCTTAGTTGGATCTCTATTCTGTTCTGCTGCTCTTTGTATCCTTTGTTCTGACAATACTGCACAACTTTGACTATTCTAGTAATGTAGTAAACCTAGAAATTGTATAAAATGTTTTTTTCTACTTTTTCTTTTCAAAGTTGTAACTATTTTATAAGTTCAGTGTGCTATCCATTGTACTGTAGCACCTTATTAAACATTTTATACCTATGTATCTCCATATTAACTTCAGAAGGATTTCATCTCTCTTAAAAACGTCCTGTTCAGTTTGATAGGAATTGTGTTTAACCTGAGTGTCAACCTGGGGGAAACTAGTACCTTTATCTTATAGGTATTCCTAAGTCTTGGTCACCATATTTGGCCTATTTATTTTTATTTTATACTTAGCTTTTGTACTGGCAGCATTCAAGTCTTGTGCATGTCTAGACTTTAACTTAAATATTTTTGTGATGATGAATGATACTATACAAAATGTTCTTTCCTATAAAAATTATTTTTTGTGCTCATGTTATTTTTGTTTTTCATTGTTTGCTATGATTTTTTGGATCTTCAATATAGAAATGATGGTTACTTCACATAATGTTTTTTTCTTTTTGGTGTGAATCCTTTTTTTTCTTTCCCAGTTGCTCTGGCTGTATTTTTCAGTGCTATTACTACATCACTACAATGTGACTGAATCATTTCTTCTCCCCTGTTTCCTCTCAAAGTTTCTCACATAACTCCCTGTCCTCTTTCAAATTCATGACCTCCCTTTCTCTAGTTCTCTCTCTCTCTCTCTCTCTCTCTCTCTCTCTCTCTCTCTCTCTCTCTCACACACACACACACACACACACACACACACACACACACACTCCCACACACCCACACACACACAAACACACACACTTTCAACTATAAACAACAAAACCCGCTCAGTCTGTACAATGCCACTTGCATGTACCTGTTTTAGAGTTGACTGTGTTTTTGGACAAAAAAAAAATTGCTGTGTACTTTTCCTTGGGTAAAACAACCTTTCCTCCTCTTAGCCTGTAGACAAATATCTAAACAGTCTTATTAAATAAGAAACACAGAGCCAAATGCAGAGTTAAAGCCAAAGCGATCAGAGCACTAGTGAAGAGCCATGACTACCTTATCTTACAGCCTCATTGCTGTCACTTCCCCAGAAGGGAAAGTTTCTTCCTGTCTGACTTATCTTTTTATTGCCTTTCTGTTCTGCCTTCTCATTGACTCTAAACCCAACCACATGACTTCCTCATCACTGCCTGTCTATACAGACCTCCAGGTCTCTATGGTTGGTACTGGGATTAAAGGTTTGTGTCACCACACTGGGCTGTGTCCTTGACCACACAGAGACTCTGCCTGCCATGTGATCAGATTACGGGCGTTTGCTACCACTGCCTGACTCTGCTTATGGCTCAATATGACCTCTGATCTCCAAGCAAACTTTATTTCTTAACATACAAATAAAATCACAGTTCAGCACAAATAAAATATCACCATATTAGCCTTACTCAGTTGTCTGCAGTTCCTTGTGTAGTATTGAGGCTCCTGAGCCCTCTGTGTTCCACATCAGCATGTCCACTATTGTTGTCCTTCTTTAGGTCATGTCCAGGCAGCCATGTTGGTGAGACTTCATGGTGTTAGCTTCTGACATTTCTAGGAGACACATTCTCAGAGAAAATTTCTGTTCTCTGGCTCTTAAAATCCTTCAGCCCCCTCTTCCTCATTGACCCTCTAGCCCTATGTACAAATGTTATATTCATCTGTAAAGAAAAACAAAATCATGACATTTGAAGATAAGTGGATAGAACTAGAAAAGATAATATTGAGTGAGACCCAGACCCAGAAAGACAAACAGCACATAGTCACTCTCCTATGAGATTCCTATCTCCAAAGCTAGATAAGTGCAGAAACCAGGAGAGTAAAGAGGAACCATTGAAGGGGTGAGGGAAGGAATAGCAGATTACAAGTGATCTAAAGGGGGAATGGAGAGGGTGCTCTAATTAAGGAAGAGGGAGGGAGATAAATACAGGAGGTAGGATGGTAAAATAACAGTAAAGAAATCTAAGGATTAACCTAAAATGCCTTTAATACATGTAACATGGAATATAAATATTTTACTTTCATAAAACTAAAGTTGGTAAACAAGTATGCTGAGAGAGAACATTAATTCTACCCATTCCCAGTAGAAAGGAAGTACTTTGTTCACTCTTCAATGGATCAGTTTTTCATTGGACCTAGTCTTCATCATCTGTGATGTTTTTATGAATGTACTTCATCAAAGTGAGGAAATTATACTTTGGCTTCTAGGAATTTTTGCTGTGAATGGTTTCTGAATTGTATCAAGTGATCTTACTCCATCAATTGAAGAGATCATGAGAGATTTTTCTTTACATTGTTGATGTAGGAAAGTTCATTGATTTTAATTTTGAATATTTGAATATCTTTGCATAATTGAAATATACTTTAATTGTTCATGGTATATAAATTATATATTGCTGAGTACTATTTTGTAATCTTTTGTAAGGAACTTTTGTGAATGTATAAGCATGAGGCATATTGTTTTGTGGTTTTTCTCTTAACTATTTTCTTTAGTTTCTGTATTAGAGCTAAGTGTAAATACACAAAATGAATTGGAAAGTGCTTTCTTTTCTTTTTTTTTTTTTTTTTTTTGTTTTATTTCCAGACCGGGTTTCTCTATGTAACATTCCTGGCTGTCCTGG